CATATGCATGCTCAATCAATGGTGATATACTATATACACAATCAGTTTGAATATGGCTGGGAAATAACTAGTATTGGCCAAGTTATATGCGTTCAAAGTGGACCATTTGCATCATCACAATTACAAATTAAATGGTCGATTTCACAACCAATACGCAAGCCTGTGCTGATATGGTGACATGACAATACTTGTATATACTTGGTATTGTATCATGTGCAATTTCAATGCAATCCATGCATGTTTGATAACACAATAATTGAATAGCTGACGTTTTGTAGGTTGGATATTATAGTCGATGTTTGGCGTGTCAATAACTCGGTCCACAATGGTCATACAATGTCGAAATCAACTGCAATGTATGGCACACATATAGTCATGTATTGTGTATATAGTTACGTCGTCATTGGTGCAATATATCAATGTGTATCATGACCATCAAATGCATGTCCGAAAGTGTCGTTTTGGCGTGTTTGATGTCGAATATCTTGACCAATACTGACACTAGTTGCATGCGATTGACACTGAACATGAGCATACATGCATACTATATACTGGACATGCATCAGGCCATATCGTCAATCAAATTGGAAACATGTTATAATCACGACTGTCGACTGAATTGGACGCAACTGGAACACATTCAAAACACACGATACTACACTGTAGTTTGGACTGTATACACATCATATATTCATGTTACAATGGCCGATACATTCACTTGATTACAATACATATCGATGACTGGCATATTTACTAACGATTGATTGTGTAATGTATGAATATCAAATGCACTGTATAGTTTAATTGACGAGTGTATTTGACGAGTATTTAAACTAGTATTTAGACTGTTATTCTGACCAGTATTTGACGATTGTTTAATCCACATATTGACCAGTTGTCTGACTAGTATTTAGACTGTTATTCTGACCAGTATTTTGACGAGTATTTGACGAGTATTTTAACTAGTATTTGACCTGCATTCTGACCAGTTGTTTGATTAGTTTAGCCTGCATTTCAACCTGCATTCTGACCAGTATTTGACGATTGTTTAACGATTGTCTAAACCTGCATTCTGACCAGTTGTTTGACTGTTATTCTGACTTGTATTTGACGAGTATTTTGACGAGTGTATTTGACGAGTGTTTGATTAGTTTAACCAGTATTTCAACCTGCATTCTGACCAGTTGTTTGACGATTGTCCAGACCTGCATTCTGACTAGTTGTTTGACTGTTATTCTGACCTGCATTTGATCATATTTGACGAGTATTTTGACTAGTATTTGACCAGTGTTTGACGAGTGTATTTGACGAGTATTTGACCTGCATTTCAACCTGTTGTTTGATTAGTTTAGTCTGCATTCTGACCAGTATTCTGACGATTGTTTGACGATTGTCCAAACCTGCATTCTGACTAGTTGTTTGACCTGTATTCTGACTAGTTGTTTGACCAATTGTTTGTAAAAAACTACAGTCGTTCATACTCGAATACATGGTCAATGGCTCAACCAATACTACAGTCACACATACTACAGCTTGATGACAATGACAGTAACACTGTTACGACGACTGTTTCAAGTTTGTGTAAAACTACAGCCAACAAAAATAGGGATTCGGACAAAACTGCATTGACTGGTGTGTGTCGAGTATGTCGATTCAACCAACACATGGCAATACTACTGCGTCTCTGGTTATACAACAGCATACACATGGTCATGTATGACGACTGTCAAACTGTATGCAGCAATCGAGTGTTCAAGTGTTGGGTAAAGTCGAATAACGACCAGAATTACACGATTTAATAAACTCGATTGTACACTGTCAGGCTACAAACCTTGATCGTTTTTACAGTTATTGATAGTTATTGATGGTCATTGACAGTTATTGATAGTCACTAGTAGTTATTGACAGTCATTGATAGTCACTGTCCAACAACACAGTCACAATAATATATTTACGACTATAATCATGCC